CCCCAAAACCCCAAAACCCCAAAACCCCAAAACCCCAAAACCCCAAAACCCCTTATGGATTAAATATTATGAAACATAAATAAAATTATTAATTTGAAATGTCCACTGGCTTCGAAGCTGCCCCTCGCGTTGTTGACAGCAGGTCCAAATATAGAGATGAAGAAGACGACGAACGCCTCGCTCTCAACATCATGTACGACAAACGAGTGTTCAGAGGTAACACCCACAACATGAACATGATTACGAAGAACCTGACTCCGGCCCAGCAAGAAGAACTCAGGGTCCAGGAGGAGAGAGGCAAGAAGAAGGTCGAAATGATCAAGCGCCAACTCATCGAGTTCAAGAAGAAGAAGAACAAAGGCGAGGAAACCCTCTACGACCTCAGGCCGGGACCTCCTGCACGAATCGAGGTCGACCTGAGATACTTCCTCACTGAACAGGGCAAAGACCTGGGGCCTGACAATCGGAATGTTGTCGCTCAGACTGATGCGTTCATGCCGAAGCCTCCAACTCCAAAGTATGTACCGAAAAAGACTGGGATTGACGCGGAGACCCAGGTTGGAGACTACGATCTGTTCTACTACGATGATGCTGTCCTTCCCATCCTAAACGTAGTAGTCGATAAAACTCTTGAGACCGCACTACTAGAAGTAGAGGAAGAGGCTGAATTAAAAGCTATTGATAAATACAAGAAGGAATGTGAAAGAAAGACCACCAAATCAAAGAATGAATGGAAGAAAGAAATCAAAGAAGAAAGAGGCAGACTTAGGCAAAAGAATGAACTCCTCGAAGTACAAAGGAGGAAAAAGAAAATGATGGTAGAAACCACATTTAAATTACAACGTTTGAATATTGCTAAAGCTTACCTCCAGAATTGATTCAAGAACTCTCTGCAGTATCTCAACGACTCTAAATATTGGAGGGATACCTTCCAGGATCAGCTCAAGTCTGATTATAAAGAACACTTGTTATCAGGTATATCCGACCTCCTATTCAAAGACTCTGTTGGCAAGGAAGTTTGCAATACGTTGTGAGATGCCAAATTTGATGAGTATGCTAGTATCAGCGGTCCTATTAGAGACAAGCATCACAAAGAACTTGCTGAGAAAACAACTAAAATGAGAATGATCGAGAATCCACATAAAAGAATTGTTAGCTTCATGTTCACTAATCCTTTCCCGATCAGGCTCAACGAATTCTCTTTAAGACTCAGGAAGTTCTTTGATAATAAACTTGATGAATATGTCAGCGGGGTCAACGAGAAGGTTAATAGCTACATTGACAAAATTAAGAACGATGAGTTAGATGATGAAGAAGAGGAGAAAACTCCGTTCCCAATTACCTTCTCAGAAAGTCCTCATTTCACTGTTGATATTAGCTCTATTGAAAGAATCGCACTGGCTACGGCTGACGATCCTTTCTTCAAGTTAGCTCCTAGCCATCAGAAATATTTCCCTCAGATGATAATCTATAATTCTAAGGGAGAAATTATAGAAATTTTGGATGAGACAAAGCTCGGAGTAGAAACCATAACAAAAGGAGCCTATAATCCAGACTGAAGAGATGCAAAGCTCAAGCTCAACGATGATAGAAGGGTCACTTTGAGTCTCCTGACTCAAAAAGATGTCCAGATGGTCGCCTTTGTCATCAGGAGCAAGGATCTCTCCTCGAATCCTGAAGTAAAAGAGAAAGAATTTGAGAGAGCACATTTCAGACTTCTTGATGATTCCACAAACCAGACTTTGGACACCTCACTTATCAAAGATATGCAGATAACCCTTCCTACCAAAGAAGGTGAGGGCGATGACGAAGATGCTCAACAACCAGAACCTGAAGATGACGAGGATGAGGAAAAGAAGGGGCCTCAGCCTCAAAATGTCATCATGCTTGGTCGCGCATTCTTGGACAACAAGAAATGGATTTACGAGCAGTACAATTACATGTTCAAGGAGGACACCCATCCTGAATTCTTCGAGGCAATCGGTAAAATTGAGGCAGAATCCCGTGAATTTCACCAGAACATTGAGAAGAAAATTAAAGAAGAAGAATCCATTCTAAAAGAGTCCAAAGAAGCAGCAGCACAGGCAGCTGCGGCTAAAGCTGCCAGTAAGAAGAAGAACAAGAAGGACACCAAGAAGAAGAAGGAAAAAGAAGATAAGGAAGAGGAAAAGGTAGAGGAAGAAAAGACAATCCTTGAGAAAGAAGAAGTCGACATTGACCATATGCCTGGATTTAAGACCGTACTTGACGGAGTCTACCCAACCATCTTTGGTCCAATCACTCTTGAACTTAGAGAAGATAAGTGGAACTTTGAGAAAACTGAGAAGCTTATCCATCAAAAGATGAATAAGATCGGCATCAAAGAGATCAAAGACTGAAAGCATGGCTTTGAGTTTAGGGTCAATGGAAGAGTCAGGCCTATCTCTAGAAAGAATTTACTTAAATATTCCAGGAATGTCCAGAATCTCGAAATTTTGCCAGTCATCCCTCCAGAAAAAGTCATCGAGGAGACCAAAGAGGCTGAAGGCGAGGGAGAAGGAGAAGCTGAAGGAGAATAATTTGTATAATTTCAATATATAATATTTTAAAGGGGTTTTGGGGTTTTGGGGTTTTGGGGTTTTGGGGTTTTGGGGTTTTGGGG